TCCTCAGAATTCATTTTGGAGGCATGTTCTTTAAAATGCAGTGTAAGAAGAGTAAAACTGAACGAACACAAATGAAATTTAGAGTGCATGAAAACTACTGCCTTAAAAGCTACAGGAGCAACGGTACAGTTGTTAAGAGTGTACTAATATAAAACAGAAGTGTACTGGATCTTCTGACTTGAATATTTGAATTTTGTATTGACTTTGAGTGTTTGCTTCCTCTTCTGACACATGAATTAGAGCTAGAAGTTCATTACCCATAGTGAGCTGCTGTAAAGACAACATTAATCAGACAGATTAATTGCCTGGGGTAGTTTTATGATCTTTCATGGATGATTTTTGCCTACTGAGAAATAACTAGACTTCAGTTTTAATAATACTGGGTCTGAAAAACAAGTTCTCTTAAAAAACAGCATAGGAAGGATTTTTACAGTGTTCCCTCTGCCATTTAAAGCATGTTTTCAGTATTTTACTGCTAGGATCTAATGTGTCTCTCTGCAGTCCCAGGCATGCTTATAACCAGCAGGAAATGATCTCTTCCCATCCCCCTCTTCTCATTACTTGGAAAGAGATGAAATTATGCAGGATACATTCCAACCACATAGTTCATGGCATGCAGCAGTACTTAAGCCATTGAAACATTCCAGCATTGTTTGTTGTTGTTTAGTTGTGTCCAACTCTTCGTGACCCCATGGACCAGAGCACACCAGGCCCTCCTGTCTTCTACTGCCTCCTGGAGTTGGGTCAAATACATGTTGGTAGCTTTTCTGTCGTCCCCTTCTCCTCCTGCCTTCACACTTTCCCAACATCAGGGTCTTTTCCAGGGAGTCTTCTCTTCTCATCAGATGGCCAAAGTATTGGACCCTCAGCTTCAGGATCTGTCAGTCTCAGTAATCATTGTGGTTTAGTTGCCTGCTTGAGACTACAAAGGATTTTTAAAAAAAGTTGAGAAGGAGACTAGCAGAAGAGGTTGGTACAAGACAGCATAACAGTGAACCTGGATGGCATGGGGTCACTCCTTGTTCATCCCGGAACAGTTGCTGTTTTGGCAAGACTTAAAGAGAGGCCTTGTGGCATCGTGGTTAAACTGCAGTACTGCAGTAAACACTTTGCTCACAACCTGAGTTCAATCCCAGGCTCAGGTTGACTCCACCCTTCAATCCTTCACAAGTCAATAAATTACATCCCCAGCTCACTGGGGGGATGGGGTCACAATATGTAGCCTACATAATTATAAACCGCCCAGAGAGAGCTTTAAGCACTATGGGTGATATATAAGCAGCACATTTTGCTTTATTTTTAAAGCATTTTGAAGATCTGCCACCTTATCTGACATTGAGTTTCTGAGCCCAAAAGGAGCACTTTGCATAGCAGCTGTTTGCACATGTTATCTTCCTAATTACTACTCTCTGCTCCAAGTTTTGTTTTCAGAGTGGGAAACGTCATAAAAAGCATATAGGTTGCTCGAGTGGCTTTTGTGGTATACTGTATTTCCTTCAGCACTTATCCTTCCTGCCAAATCCCCTGCCACACATACCCTTCTCCAGGATAAGTGCCAAGAATATCTGAAGTGATCAGCATACTCAATAATCCATCAGGCTGGGTTTTTTTTTTTTTTGGAGGGTGGCTTTTGTACTTATAAATACACAAATTACATTTCCTGTCACCTGCTCATATATAGAATATAGCCACAAATATATGGAAAGTGAAAATGCTACCTTTGTGTGCAAGTGGCTGTATTCTTCTGCAAACTGATGGGCACAAGTCCCTCAAGTTCAGTACAGTGGTACCTCCCAAGACAACAACCCTGCTAAATGACAAATCCACATAATGATGATTTTTTGCGATCGCTATAGTGATTCGCAAAACAGTCATTCCAATGGGGGATCTTCGCTCGACGTTGGATTAGGTCCCTGCTTCGCAAACCGTTTGTTTGCAAGACAACGATTTTTTCCACTGATCATCGGCTTTGCAAAATGGCTGTCCTGTGTTTTCTAGACCCATGCTTCACAGGGCAGCCATTTTTACAGCTGATCGGCACTCACAAAATGGCTTCCCTATGGGCGATCGTTGGGCGACAAGGTATTTTCCCCATTGGAACGCATTAACCGGGTTTCAGTGCATTCCGATGGGAAAAGGGTTTTCGCATGACGATTTTGCTAAAGAGCGATTTCAATGAGACGGACTATCATCGTCATGCGGGGCACCGCTGTATATAGAGTAAGTGCAGAGCCCCAGCATGCTTCCAAATGCAAGCCTCAGAGATACTGAAGTTCATCATTAGGAGTAATAATTATATAATAACTTGGCTGCCGTACTATCAGTATGCTTTGATTTGTCTTTGAAAGCCCTTAAGGAGATGTGCAATTTTTGACTCAGAAAGATGACTAGCCGAAAGATTTTAATTAATCACCCTATTCAAATATCCTTAGTAATTTTGAGACTTAAAATAGTTTTGAATCTGTAATAACCCCCCTTCCCATTTTTAAAATACAAAGCTTAAGGGGGAAAAACAATTTCTGTCCAGTTTGATAGTGCTAATCTGAACTTGCAAAAAACTATTATATTACACTTTATTCATTATTTCCCAGTGCTAAAGTGGCACCGAAGTGTTGTTGCAAAAGACAATTCTTCTAATAATTGGATAACAGTTTTTCCATTTATTACTTCTAGAGACAACTCAAAATTATGTTGAAGCCCTAATCAGGTCAGCAAGAGATGCAGTAAATAATCATTATTTTGCAAGATACAGTGATATATCTCTCACTGCTGGCATATATTATTATTTGTGAACAAATAGTTATCCTCAGAATAAAGACTAAATTCATTGTACAGTATACTTCTCAATCACATGCAATTATAACAGTTAAAATTTGGAGCATAACTTTGCCGTCATCATTGATGTCCTAAGTTTCTTAACCTCTAAGCAGATACACACCTTAACAAGGTGAAGGGGTTTGAATGTGTAAGTGAAGCCGAGAGCAATGCAGTCAAGAGGCCAGACTCTACTATAAGTCTGAACAGCTAGGAGCATCACCCAAGGCAGGTCACAGAGGAGACACCAGACTAGGATGCATCCACCTTCTTTGAGGGTAACAGCCACAACAGCATAAAATAATGGAGAGTTCCAATGGTGATGGAGGAAGCAGCTACTGGGCAACAGTGGTAGCTGAAAGTGACACTGGTGGACGAGATAATGATAATTTCCTTACTATGAAAATCCTATGATGAAACAGCCCACTATGAAACAAGAGACAGTGCAGGGAGATGAGACTCCCAGGTCAGAAAGCATTCAATCAGCACTAGGGAAGAGCAAAAGACAAGCATAAGCAGCACTGTCCCTAATGCCACAACTAGATTAATACCAAAAGGATGTTTACTTGCTGATAGCACAGAAGTAAATGCAAAATCCAATGCAGCACGACACATAAAACTG